TCCACAATACTCTATAACCACCATTTTTGCAGGACAAAATGCTGGGACTAGGGGTATGTGAGTGGGGCTACATAAGCTTCCTTTGCCCAGTTTTTTTTTCTAATCGCACTTTCACGTTTTGAAGCCTTTTCGGTGTTTTTGAACTGGCTAATGGCGTAATTGTACCTTTTATCTTCTGTTTCTTGAAATCAGCTATGTGTCGCCGGCGTTTTCTCCCTATGAGCATTTGATCGCTAGAGGAGTCTTTGTGTCCTATTTTCAGAGTTTCCCAACTGCGCAGGTTGAAAAAAGACTTAATCGCACGAATGCATCACCTATACCGTCCTAGTGTCTTGACGACGCGAATTAATCCGACTAGTTAAAGACACCAAGTAGAATAACCTTCTCTCAAGGATTCCCGGAGGTATACATCGCCAGACGCAGGGAAGACTGAGACATTAGCTGTCTACGGCTGAGACCCACCCCTACATGATACCGTGGGTCCCTTTCTTTCTCCATTCACCGTTCACGGCATTCTGTGAAAAAAAACAATGGAAGCGAGCAGTATGACCGTTCATGAACCCTTTCTGCTTGATTAATTTTATGCACCGTCCCATAACTAACGAATTTTAAGGATGCTGACTTCCTAGCCACGCCTGGACGCCGACCTTTTCTTTCACTATTCATCGTTTTCATTGGTATGGAGATATAAAGTGGTCCTTTTGTAAGCCATGATGTCTGGGGTTGAAATTGGGTGACTTTCTGCCGATGGTGATTGTTCGACAATCGATTTCGATGAAGGCTGCCGGGCTACTGGCTTCATTTTCCCGGACCAAAAACCTTGGCCTGAATGAGAAGAAGATGCGCAGGATGGCTGCAAAGAAGTCGTCTTTAACTACTAGACATTTTTGCCTCAGTAGGATGATTGTTCGACCATCGATGCCGATGAAGTCCACCATATGCACCAACAGGTTGGTACAGTGACGATGACTGGCTACAGGGGATAGCAGACATAGTTAGCGCCAACTGCACTCTTCACCTTCATCATAGGTCAAGAAGTCCAGATTGGATCCGGGGTTGGCCGCCTTCTCCAGTGCTAGCCAGAAAACCATCTAACTTGGTGTTAAGCGACGGTAGACTATGGACGGTTACTACCGCACCATCTACGCTCAACCACCTCCAGTAGGTGTCAAGACAGACTCACGGAAACCAAGGCTGGTACTGCTACTACTATTTTTACAATTTCTAACTGGGAGTACAGCTGAGTATAAGAAATATGGGCACTATTTCTGACGTGAGTATTTGTCAGAGGTGTCACTGATTAAAGTCAACGCTGGGGCTCATATTAACGCGATCTCATCAAGGAGGGTGAAGCTGAATTTATGTTATTCCGAGTAAATACATGCTTGAGGCCTGGAGCACATCAAGGCTTGCCTTGGTTTCCACACCCTCACCTCTGTCCATCAAAAGCTGCGTAACATTTTACTAAGTTTGGGCTAGGATACAGCTACTAGAGGTAATATGCCACTGATGAGAGTGCTAATTCTACTCATCATACTTACTAAGACCAGCGGATGGTGTACTCCGGTAATATCAGTTGTGTCAATGGCTGCCCTGTATCCTATTTTTGCAACACGCAAAACAGATGAGAATATGAGTTAACGCACGTCCCAAACTTCATTTGGGCTGGCACCTGGGCGGACGTTCACGTCCGGTAAGTAAGTGAGACTGTAGTATAGGATTAACTTCACAGCCAAGACCTCCTGCATGCATACCTTTTATCTGGTCGTGTTTTCTTGTGCAGGAACGAGAAAGAACGTACTATCAAAATAGGTCTGACTCTTTTTCAGCCAGACGATTGCGTCCACATTATGCCCTGGGAGGGGAGGTGAGTGAATCCCCAAGTGGGTTTTATCGGTCACGTGGCTACTCATTCGCCATATTTTACAATGGAAAGGTTAGAACCAATGCGCGCAGCGTATGGCCCTTAAGCAAGCGCAAAGGTCAAGTAAAGACTTAAACACCTGTCTAAGGATGCATGCGTAAATAAAAACAACAGAGAAAATTGTGCGAAACGAGAACTACCAATATAACCACGTGGCAGTTGTCCTGCACTTCAATCCAGACAGTACGGACTGCGTATGAAATAGCCAAGTAAGTTAGTATATGCCCAACTTTGTTATAAGCCAGCAGGTATGCGTGTGAAGTATTAATATAGCTACGAAATTCTTCACACTGACCTGAACTTTGAAATACCCAGCGGATTTCGAAAGAAAATCCCACCAGAATTCCAAATTTCTCGTTAACTGCACTCCAAAATGCCAAGAAAAGAGAGTGTCACCTGTTGAAGTCCGTAGTCGTCGAAAGACCATACGCATACCGATTTTCGGGTAGTTACTGCCATAGATTAGCTCTTCTCGGAATACCAAAGGAGAACATTGAGAAACGTTTTCGAAATTATACTTGCCTAGACTAGAATTATAATATAAAACACGGACCTTTTGTCAGAAGTAAACGGCCGTATGCACTTGCGGTATTTATATCGAACGAAAGACAAACACCGATGTTGAGGTCAGCTTAGGCATATCCGGTATTCAAATGTCAGTAGAATAGCAGACAGGTAAAAAATAACCTATCCTCGGAAAATGGACTGTACAGGCGAACTGTAGACGTTTCGACTTCGTAAAAGGCACTCACCTTCTTCGAGTAAGACGTCCAATTGAGTGGGATTATTGACCATAAGGGGAATAGTCGATTCAGCCTTAGTTACTGTCGTTGGTTTACTCTAACCTAATTTGGCACAGGAAAGACCTGGGCTTTGACAATGCCTGTGGTAGTATTAAGGACGGAATCTTTAGCAGTGCCAACACAAAATGATTCTTTCAGGAGGCGTGCTTTATGGCATAAATTCTGGGACGGCGATGCTTAGGTCAAGCCGCGTAGGGCGTAAACCGTTTTGTTGTTTTGACTACGGCTGCGTGGCCGTCGTCTACGTTCATTGAAGCACACCTCCGAGGCGTGGTGGTTATTTTTGTTGTTGTTTGTCTGGTAGGGTGCATACTGCCAACGCCCAACGCCTCAAGGTCGTGCACCTTAACAACGGAACAGGTACAGACTTGCCGACCTACGGCCTGTCGGCTTATTTCGCGTTGACACACAGGTTTGTATCTATAACCACGATTGTCCAAACGCCATTGAAAAATGCCAACATACGACTGATGTAATATATGCCAGTAGATACATACAGTCCTGCGAGTCCTGCAAACAACTTTCATGACGAAATTTAACTTGG